AAATGAAGTCACTCCACCGTTGAGTGCTGCCGTGCCAGATATGTTGGAGCTCCAGTACGAGTTGGAGTCCAAGACGGCAAAGTGGTACGCTACCATCGACATAGCCAACGCGTTTTTCTCCATTCCCTTAGCAGCAGAGTGCAGGTCACAGTTTGCTTTCACCTGGAGAGGCATTCAATACACCTGGAATCGACTGCCCCAGGGGTGGAAACACAGTCCAACCATCTGTCATGGACTGATCCAAGCCACACTACAGAAAGGTAAGGCTCCCGAACACATCCAATACATCGATGACATCATTGTATGGGGGGACACTGTCGGGGTGGACAGTGGGTCTGTCAGCACCTTGGCACATACCGACGAAGCAATCGATGTTGTCCAGATCAAAGTATACCCCTGAGACGGACTGAAAGAGAGGACTGAAAATGGAGGCCCTGAACCCGACAACATACTGATGCATACTGAGGAAGCTGTCCCGTGGGAACAGAGAACACTGTCTCATGAGAACAGGAACATTGTCTCATGAGAACAGAGACCTGTTTTGAACGAGAGTGGTCGGGAAAAACATCAACATGAGAGAAAAATAAGAGCAGGTGCTCAGGACTGTTGTGGGAAAGAACAGGGCTGTTTTGAGAAAGAGCAAAGTTGTTGTGAGAAAGTAGAGTTTAGAAAATGCACCTATTAGCTGTAAGAATTCTGGTGTGAGAGTTTGAACTGTCCTATCCATGTGGATTACGTGTGTTCAAAAACTGTACTTAAGGGCCTGTGAAGCAGCCCCAGTGTTCTGCTTTTTCCTGGGAATAAAGTTTGCTGGAACCTTTTTTCGTGTCGCATGTCCGTTCTAACAGCAACATCTGGAGATGCCGACGCGATTGCAACGTTGAAGAAGGATTTATCTCCAACTGCGGAGCTGCTGTGACTTCCCTCCTAGAGGAGGAAAGAGCAGAGATTTTCTCTCCTAGAGAGAGATTGGACCTGTGGGACGAGGCACAGGGGGAACGGAGCCCGGTGAAGCTTGAGAGCAGGATTGGTTCCCGCCAAACAGTCCAGACCTGAACTTTTTCGAACCCTCATTAGGTAAGCTAACGGGGGTGCCACCGGGGACAATGTTTTAACGATGGGACAGCATATAATGAAGGAGGAAAGTGTGGTTCTGTCCACATGGAAATCCCTCCTTAACCGAAAGAATGTCAAGGTTACTGATTCTGCTTTGCGGCGCGTGTTATTGTGGTGCAGGAAGCAGGGCTTTGAAGCCACATCTAGTACTGCGTTTAGTATATCTGCATGGCAAAAGGTCGGTGATAAGCTATGGGATGAAATATCTAAGGGATCGAAAGACGCGAATGATCTAGCAGTCACCTGGCGTTTGCTGTTTGATACTCTGAAAGAGTGGCAGGCAGAACAGCAGACAGGAGAAAATGAAACTAAGTCAGCTACAGTACAGAATGCTCCAAATTCCAAGGAAGGGAGCTCAACTGATACTATAAAAGAACAGTCAGAGTCCTTGAAAAGTTCAGATGGAGACCCAGCTGGCAGCAATCCAGGCCATTTTCAGGCTTCGTAGTGCTCGGGAGGAGGCTTAACTAATAGCGAAACTGACACTAAGCCAAGTCGTAAATATCCTACACCTAATGAGCAAATAGCTGGCAGCAAACATGAGTCTAAGCCGAGTCGTAAATATCCTACACCTAACGAGCAAATAAAAACGCCTCAGCACTGGACGTCCTCGACAGATATCGCCCCGTCTCCCTATAGGACCCCTGCGCAGCAGCTAGCAGAGTTTGAAGCTCAGGACAAATGCCTGGAGCCCTCTGCTTCTCGTATTGCTCAGGATGATCGACTTCATACTGCATTGCCTAGTAGTGATGAGGATGAGGAGGCCGTAGTTAGTCATCCTGTCACTGATAACACGGAGAGAGCTACCTGCCAGTCCCCTGTTACTAATCAGAAGAAAGGAGCTGCTTCTCGGCCCCTTTGGAAAGCAGCAGAGACGTGGACTCTGCCCCCTGTAACCGTTACTGTGCTGTCTAGACATCCAGGCAAATTTTGGAATCAAGTAAAACAAAAGGCAGCAGAAATAGGGGACTGGAATCTGCTGGACAGGAT